TTCCTGTACTTAGCCCCCCCAAGCATGATGACGTCCATGGTTTAATCCGTTCCGAGAAGAGAGCATCCATGGCCCAACCTGATGACATCTGTGGTCTAATCCGTTCTGAGAAGAAGGCGTCCATGGCAAAACCATGATGAATGGTCTGATCCGTTCTGAGGGGGGAGCATCCATGGCCCAACCACGACGACGTCCATGGTCTAAGCCGTTCTGAGAGGAGAGCATCCATGGCCCAACCATGTAGATGTGAAGGCCGGTTGATGAATGTTTGTTTGTATGCATGTGTGGATGAGTGGATGGTTGGATGGATGGTCGTACCGATAGATGTACAGGTTTGTGGCTGTATTGAGTGATGGATGGAATGCTGGAATGATTGCATGTTTGTTTGCTGACCCTGCCCCCGTTGCTTTTGTCTCGTTTTGCTGACTCGGGCCTTGCCCGGAGGAGCAGGAGGAGCACTCGCGTCAGCATCAGCATCAGCATCCGTATCATCATCATCATCATCATCGTCATGCTCATCCGCAACGACGGTCATCGTGGTAATATGCACGACCTGAGAAGAGCGCCAGACACCCCAAGGCGCACTGATCTCTCGGCTTCGCCTGCAATTCCTGACAAGCTTCTTGGCAGATGTTTGGCAGAGAGTTGTGTGTGGCTCTTTCGGTCGGAATGTGCACTCGAAACCGCATGCACCATAACACACCGCAGCGGATACGGCCGCAGTGTTGCTTGCAGCAGAAGCCACGCAATTCGTTGCTTTAAGCTCTTTGCATGAATTGGAGCCAATGCGGCTGCTTGGCTTATTTTGTACAGAGTGACGTTCCAACTAAACTCAGCCAATCCTTTTTCCATGCAGACTAGCCAAAGCATCCTGAAGCCTAATTGCGGCGATCGGGCGCCAGCTGTAAGCCGCATCGGGTCAGGTCAATGACTGCAAAGGACAAGAGGAAGCAGCGCCGCGCCGCGAAGTTAGCGACACTGAAAGCCCTCGAGCGAGTCGAGGAGGTATTCGAGGGTTGGGGTGCGCTGGGGCGTAGGGGAGCGGAGGACCACTGACAGTTCTGCGGTGATGGAGAGCCTGAGCTGAAGCCCGCTGCAGTCTCCACTCAAGCAAAGCGCAGGAGGCTAGGGGCCCTGCTGCTTTGCCTTCGTTGAATGAGCCGCCTGCGGCACAAAGCTGAAGATCCGTAGGGCAGCCTCACAGGGGTTTGGGGGTCAGCCGGGGCGTCTGCGAGGTGGTTTCACGGGGACATCGCCACGGATAATTTGCAAGAACTGTAGAAGGCATCTTGGACGTCAGGACTATAGCGGTCATCCTGGGACTTCCGGTCCAACTAACAGAGCTGGAGCGAGTCCAGCGTTTCCTGCGAAAGCCAGCTTGACCTTTGAAAGGCGGCGCAAAATGATGCTGGCTTGTGATAGCGATAGCGGGGCTCGAATTCCATCAGAAATTCTGTTACCTTCGTTTAGCCCTCAAAGACTGGACATCTTCATCACGTGGGCTCGATCCCGTAGCGTGTCAAGGGCAGCCCGGCAGTTGATTGTTTTGCGAAGGGTCAGGACTGTGAATGTACAGTTTGTTTCCGCCCTGTCGATTTTCTGGAACCCAGCAACACGGGGTTTATGGCCGCATGTTTTGTCTAACCCTGAGGAACCCAAGCATGCTCATGCATAAGACTCGCAAAGCAGCCTGGGACAAGATTTCATGCTGCGGTCAGGCCGAAGGCCCAAGTGGACTCTGAGACTCATGCTTCGAGGTCTTAATCCCAACCCGGAACTCCATGAATTCTAATTTCAAGCCGAGCCTCTGCTTCCAATCTGAACCTGGCGAGGACACGACAGCAAGCGCCGAGGAGTCAGCAGACTGCGCGGAGGTGGGACGGTAGTACACAAGCGGCTCCTGCCCTGCTGATCCTTGGGCAGTTGCGTGCAAGGCGGCGAAGCCACCGCGGGCCAGTATGCTCAGGCAAGGGCAGCAACACCCTTCGCGAAATTTCTCGTGCCCATGACTTGCCAAGCATTGAACGGTCTGTGTGGAAATCACAAACATTCAGTAAAAGGTCTGTGCACGGTTAAGTAGATCGACTACGAGGCCTTCGCCTTAGTATGCCTCTATGCAGCGAGACATCCGTGCCTGATGAGGAACGTGTTTTGGTCTGTAAGTTGGATGAGCCTCATACTAACAGTCCCGCCAGAAGATTTCAACTCTTCGCGCTTAATGTGTCCCGAAGAACTGAAGCACTACGAGGTATCCCGCCATACATTTCCTCACCTCAGTCACCTTTCTTTTGACTTGACCTTTCCGTCAACACAAACCACTGCCCCCTCGCAGGCCTTTTTGGTTGGCATGTTAACTTTCTTGCGGGCCTGGGTTTAGGGGCATAAGAAGTGTTTTAAACCTTTTTTGTTTTGAATCTGCTGCCCCAAAATTAAGCAAAAATCAAAACACTTCTGACAAAATAAAGGTAAACTACCCTGTGCCACGTCCCCGAGTCTGTCTCCCAAGCCTCCAAGGCTGTAAGGCAGTATTTATGACCGTCTCTCACATTCTCTCAGTTCCCTCGACTCACAAGACAGTGTGAGGCAGAATTCAAGCGTTCGGGATTGATTTATTGTCACGGGGGTCATTTTACCAGACCGAAAAAATCGAGGAACACATGTGTTCTGCAATCACAGAAAACTGATTTCGTTCCCTTACACTCTCTCTGCTTGTTTGGCGTGAAACGTGTGTTTGTTGGCTTAGATGCTCCTGAATCTTGCGTCTCGAAAGTCTGAGTCTGGGGAGTATGTAGTCTGTCGTACGGCTTTCTTTCATTAGGCTGAGAGCGAGAGGGGGTTCAGATCTTTACAAGTACACTTTTTTTTCTAGACATGTGTGTGGTTTCTTAATGGAAGCGAGCGGTTTGTTTTGGCGACGTGGCAAACCAAAATTCGTAAAATTGTGCTGTGTTTTTTTTTGGTCGGGTGACCGGAGACCTTTTCCAGCGCCTGGTTGGGTCGCCGGTGCTTCCTCCGAAAGAGTGCTTTGACCCATCCTTTTTTGAACATAGGTGTCTTCCTTGTTTGTATTTAAATCAGTGTTTCTTACCATCTCTCTTGTTTTACTGTGCAGTTGTTTTTCCCCCTCGGCCCCCCCTAGAGTTTTTATCAGCCGCGTTTCAGTCTTTTGATTTTTTGTCGAGATACCTGCTTGATTTTGGTGAAACCTGGTTGATTTTCAATAAACCTGGTTGACTTGGGTGCATTTGGTTGATTTTCGGTAAACCTGGTTGATTTTAGGTAAACCTGGTTGATTTTCGGTAAACCCGGTTGATTTTCGGTAAACCTGGTTGGTTTTGGCAGGCCTGGGGCCGGGCCTGGGATGATAGTTGCAAGTTGCAAGAACATAATTTGTTGTCACGCTTTATTTGTCGCTCTTTCTGTATTCTTTCGTTCATCCGACAACACACAGAGCAAGGCCTAGCAAGCGCAGCCCCGAACTTCCCAAACTGATCAAACTGCTTCGGGATCTTGAGGAGAGGAATGCCTCCTGCAACTTGTGCCTTTTTCCTCGCCTTTTTTCGGATGAAGTGTTTTGTCACTGCCGCTTTGCGGGCAGCTGGGTTGCAGCGACATATCAAGGAAGCGAAACCAGCAAACACACTTATGTTTTTTCTGTTGTGGGGAAAATTTTGCCCCAGGCCCGGACAAGAAAGTTAACAGGTTGGCACTGGGTCGAAACACACAGCGAAAGAATCATCGGGTCCATGACTAATCTGGGTGGCTTAGAGCGTCAAGGCTTCAGCCAGAGGAGTTTTGGGCTTGTTTTGAGGCTTGTTTTGAGGCTTTCAGGCTTGGGTTGGATGGACAGTTGCAAGCGCAGGAAGCTGGTCGTGTGCATCACCGGTGGCCTCTTTCTCGGTTTCTCCAACATCGGAGTCGGGATACTCTTCTGCAGATGCGGTACGGGGTTCAGGCAGTTGAAGGTGCCTTATGCCCCATGCATGTTCATGTCAGCCACCGTGACGCTGAGAAAGAGGAACGGAACAGCAACAGCAGAGCAGCAGAGGCCTTCAGAGTGTGCCCTTGCAAGGAAGGCGACATCCGACCCGTGCTTGCTGTCGCCCTACGCCAACCAGACAGTGGCCTGTTCAACGTTTCGGCGGCTTTTGGCTTTTGGCGTAAAGTGATCTCTGCTTCCAGGACAGGCTGACCTCAAAGCATCCCAAAGCGAAAGTTGCTACACAATTGCGTCTGCAATCTCTGTGGGAAGGGCCTTCGCGCTTCTCTCGGTATTGGGAAGTTTGCCGTGATCAGGACCATTTGGGCAACGATAAACCAAAAAAGCCAACACCGCACAAGTCTCTCGAAGGGAGTTAGCATTACACTGAAAGGGCACGCCAGTAGAAACAATGACAGCGTGAGTGTCAGCATCAGCAGTCAGAACAGCGACAACACCGCGAACACTGATTGATGCCAAAGAAGGCTCGCGGCAGTGAAATTCCAAGAGCAGTAGTCGATCAGACGCCTGTGGGCCGCCCGGACACAACTTAGGACCTGCTGGAGTGCATAGGACCCAAACTTTAGGAGCATTTCTCCTGGGGGCGACTTGGTAAGACTTTGTACTAGCCGCTAGCCGCTAGCCACTAGCCGCTCTATTTGCTGCCAGTATTTCTCGCTGGGCGTCTTCCTCAGCTCCATCGCGACTCGCCTCATACAAGCAAGCTCAGCGAGCTGAAGGAGTTTGGAGGGAATACGGTGTCAGGAATTCGGACGGCTGACGCAAGTCTGAGCGAAGAGGACGAGCAAGAAGAGCACGGAAGCACAGATGGCAGTGAATGCTCAGGCAGATAAGAGTGACCATAATTTGGTCGAAAGCAACGCTGGTGCTGCCGTAGGAATGTCAGAATCAGAACCTGGGCAAAAGGCCGAAAGAACTTGTGAAGGGAACGACTGTAAAGGAGGCAAAAGAGCTTCAACCCTTCCAGCTAAGCTACGACGGAAGTCTTGCCTGGAAGGTGATGCTGCCTCTGATCACGGCCTGCCCCATCGAGGGCGGTTCCGGAACCAATTTCTGTCCTGTTCTCAGGCCCCTTGAGTTCGGGTTTCCGAATAGAGACAACAGGGCCCTCCGACTGGCGATGCTAAAGTTCACAGTCCTGCCGCCTTCCCGCAAACAGGGGCTATCGGTCCGTGCCGCTGAAGTCTCACCTCCTGTCCATGCTGGGTGGCTTCATCCTCTGTGACTCGCCGGGAAGAAGAGGGGAGAGGAGAAATGGCTAGAGAGGTAGGTGTTTCAGGGTTTCAGTCTTCTCCGAGCCAGCAGAGAGCGGATGTTTGCTCTTCCGACCGAGGCTCTGGGTTCTTCTTCTTCAACCTTGGAAACAAGTCGATGAGCCTCTTCGCCGCATGTGCTTTGATGTGGTGGAGCTAACAGATACGGCGGGGTGGGCTTTGCATTGGTTTCATGTTAGGCTTGGGGTCTTCCAGCTGCCTGCAGTGAAGTTCGTTCGAAAGCCAGCCAACACCCTTGTGCCCAGATCTAACCATCTCCTACTGCATCGGCCAGTCGGCGCCGTTGGTTGGTATCCTTTGGGGTACCTTCTTTTTCAAGGACTTCGAGCTCGGTTTTAAGGATGAATCAAGAGAGGAGGCAGGCATGCACTACAGACTAGGTAAGGCTGTTGGTTAAAGCCTCCACCCTGAAGTGCTCAGTGGTACCATCAAGATCAATCAAAGCTGCACTCTTAAATCAACAGAAGGTACAGAGTTTCTGCGTCAAAGCTCAGTTTGAGCTCCTGGCCGGGGCTGGGCCCGGCCGACCTTGGCAGGAGTTCGCGGGCACCTCCGCGGGCGTTTGGGGCCTGGTCCCCGTGGTCTGCGTGCCAGGCTCAGACGGTACCAAAGGCCCGTCTCAGGCCTTCAAAATTGTTGGCGGGTTTTGTTTTTTGAGGCGTCGGTGCCATGTCGCAGTCGCGAGGAGACAGGAAGAAAGATGGTGTTGATCGAAAGCCCAAGCCGACGCCCTGTTCGAGCGACTTTCATTACGAGGTGCTCTTCGCCAGCGCCATTGCTCTCATCGCGGCACCCGGGCCACAGGAAGTTCAATCTGTAGCATTGAATTAGGTTGGGGTCTCAACTGGATTTCGGCTGGCCGAGCTATTTCTGTTCTCTTGGCTCTTTGGCGTCTAGAGTCGGAGAAGCCAGCTGAAGCTTTCGACCAGCTGTGCAACTCAGGCTGCTGGCTGATGCTTGCGGTCTTGAGCGATGTCGGGAGTGCAGGGCTGTGGAATGGAATCGACCCATGTTGACTCCACTGCGGCAATCCAAAGCGGCGGCCTTCAGCTAGCTCAGGTGAAGCACCCCACGGCAAGCAGCCAAACGATGGCTGAACTTGGCCTTCCAGCAAATGTTGATTAGTAAACGCCAAACTCCTAGAACGTAGTAACGCTCTAGCCGAAAGACAAGCAACATAACGATCATCGTCACCGTCATCATCATCATCATCATCATCACTTTCATCATCACTTTCATCATCACTTTCTTCTTCTTCTTCATCATCATCATCATGATCACCATCGTCGTCGTCATCATCATCATCATCATCATCACCCCAGCGAAGTAGTGGCCGCACCAGTAGTAGCTACTGGCCATGGCACAGCTGTGGCAGTAGTACTAACAATTATCATGATGGCGTGCTGGTGCTGGTGGTGGTGGTGGTGGTGGTGGTGGTGGTGGCGGCGGTGGTGGCGGTGGTGGCGGTGGTGGCGGTGGTGGTGGCGACTTTGGCGACGATGCTGCCTTAGCAAAGCCAAGACTCGATCTTTTGCCTCTGCTGCTAGTCATGCTGATGGTAACACTAGTCACGCGTGGTAGCAGCCGTACCAGACTGATAGCAATACTAGCTACAACACCTGATAGTCGTAACCGTAGCAATCGTAGGGCCGAGTACATCTTGAAATCAGAATGGGAAGAAGCTAGCGCATCCATGTGACTGGATTGACTGGATTGGCCAATCCCACCAAACCCATCATGCCAAGCGCACAGGTCCAGGCACAGACGGAGCAACTTCGGAACCAACGTCAGTGCGAGTAAGTGCTGCTGCACGAATATAAGACTTAAATTGCCGTTGCCACTGTAGGGATGGATCTAAGACCAGACCGGAGAATGAGGTGCTTTCAGCGCAGAGAGTGGTGTCGGGGAAGGGGAAGGGAGCAAGATGCTGGCTCCCCTGACCGGGCACCGAATGCGGAGGCCGCTCGCGATTGCCAGGCAGCCAGCGGCTGCTTCGAAACCATTGCTTACGAGCACCACTGCCGTACCTTTGTGATGGCCATGATCGTTCTACATCACCAGGACGGAATTCATAGCCATGAATTTGATCGGGTCGTTCTCGTCCTCAGCCGCATCCTCGTCCCTCGTGGCCCTGCTCGTCAGAGCTACTCGTAGAATGTTTGGTCCCAGAGCTTCATTGAAAGGTAGAGTTCTTTCCGCCATTGGGAGGTTCGAGCAGATATGCAGGGTTAGCAAAGCCTGACGGACAACGGCGATGTGCTCCGGCTGCGGGCCTGTAGCACAGGGCGCAAGCCTGACGCTCTTCCCTACCGTTTAGATGCCCGAGATGGGCAAAGGTGAAGTGTTCGTCACCCCAAACTTTTGAAAGGGGGCCGGTGCAAAGGCTCTCTCACAGGCCCCAAGAGCCTGAAACCTTCCGTGCGCTCAGCAGCTACGAACGATTTTAGTGGAGTGAACTCGCCCTTGAACGATCTCGAAGTCTTCGGTAAGGCGACCGGGCGTTGCCAACCAGTCGAGTCTGTCTGTTGTTCACCAAGCTCCAGTTTCAGGCCTCGTCTTGGAAGCTGCGCGGTCATTCGGGCTAATGCAGCGAATCATTTCAACGACATGAACCCAGAACCCCTGAACTTCTGCTAGCACCATGAAACTCCTACAGGAGCGAGCGCCTCAAGAATTGTTGTGCATGAGTGGCTCCTGCTGCAGGGTTAGATCTGCTTTCCAGTCCTTCCTGGGTTGTCCGCAGATGTCTCCAGAGACTCTAAGATTCTGTGATGTGTGCTTGGTGTACCGGAGCAGTATCTTCCATTTAGTTGCTTTTCTTTTCGTTTAAGGATTAGGCTCAGCCCTAGCCCCAAATCCTTGCGCATAACAAGGCCCCAGATTCTGAAGGCTCGTAGTAAACGAACGAGCCTACGAGACCCAGGCCCCCGGCCATGAAGGAGGCGCCGAGCGAGGGCTTGCCTGGGTGCTTTAACTGCTTTCCACCAGAGGAGTTCCGACGTACAGAGCCCACTTCCTGCTCAGATCAACCACTGCTGGCATGGCGAAAGCCGCAAGTCGAAGTGGCCCTTCGGCTAAAGAGGACAGTGCTCGTTGGGTGTAGGCCCATAGGCATGCTTTGACGATCTGCTACTGTCATGGAGCTTTCCAAGCCTGGTTGCTGCGTCTTGCACAACTCAATGCTGCGCACCGTGGCAAGGGTGTGCAGATCAGCCCAGCTACCCCCACCATCACATCCTCCCGGAAACACTAGCTGTCTGCGCCTTGAGCAAGGCAGCTGGTGCAGCGTGCCGTGGAAGATCCTGGCGAGGCTTTCCGAGAATTCTTGCCCAGAGGCTATGTGACATCACGTGCTTCAGTCTCAAGCCTGCTGCCCCCCGCAATTCAGGAAGGACGACACCACACCTGTCATGCTTCTCATGCATGTTGACTTGAGGAACAGGCTTTCTGCAGCCTTCAAGCTCGCATCCCTTCCTGGAAATCAAAGCGGAAGTTTCATCAGAACCATGTTTTCCCAAAGCCCTAGGTGTCGCGCCTCATCGACGAAGTGCGCAGGCAATGCTCGCGAGTTTCGGAGTGAAAGTTCTTGTTTTCGCCCATTCGTCACATGCACGGAAATCGAAGTGCCGCCGCTGATTACAAGCCGCCGCTGCGTACCGCCGCAGCCGAAGACTAGCCGAGGCCGAGTGCCTCAGAGCTCAGAGGGCCTCGTTGTGTGCAGGCGCTCGCGCGGTCGGAGTGCGCGTCATCGCCGACTGGGCCGCCGGGGCACCCAAAGAGACAAGAAACGGAGCATAGGGCTTGCGCTACTCTTCATACTATATAGTCTTAGGACATGCATCAGTCACTCTCTCTCTCTCTCTCTC